TCTATATATAGGATCATATCTGCAAACCGGGACAGTTTGACTTCATCTTCTCTAATCTGGGTGCCCTTTATTTCCTTCTCTTCCCTGATCACTCTGGCTAGTACTTTCAATACTATGTTAAATAGGAGTGGTGAGAGTGGGCATCCTTGTTTTTGTTTTTAAGGGAAAAACTTTCAACTTTTTCCCATTCACGGTGATATTGGCAGTGGGTTTATCATATATGGCTTTAATTGTGTTGATATACTTCCCTTCTATACCTAATTTATAGAGAGTCTTTGTCATGCATGAATGTTGAATTTTGTCAAATGTTTTTTCAGCATCTACATAGATGATCATATGGTTTTTGTCTTTCATTTTGCTGATGTGGTGTATCACATTTATTTATTTGTGTATATTGAACCAACCTTGCATCCCTGGGATGAATCCCACATGATCGTGGTGTATAATTTTATGTATGTGTTGCTGTATTCTGTCAGCTATTATATTAGTAATTGAGCATTTTATATTATTCCATTTTCTTTCCTCTCTTAGCACATCAGTTATACTTTTTAAAAATTTATTTATTTATTTATTTATTTATTTATTTATTGGTAGCTGGCCAGTATGGGGATTCAAACACTTGACCTTGGTGTCATAATAAGTTATACTTTTTAAGTAATTTTAGTAGTTGGCCTAAAGCTTACAATATACATTTTAAACTAATCTAAGTTCACCTTCAAATAACATTTATACCACTTCAGGGGTAGTTCAAGTAGCTTCAACAGAGTATTCCCACTTCTTCACTCCCAGTCCTCATAACATTTCAACAGTTATTATTATTATTTTGAACACTTCTTTATTACATCATTTAATAATAAGCAAAATAAAATATTTTATTTTACTGTCTTTTATTCTTCCAACTGGGTATCCTATAACTCAGGTGAATTCTGATGCTATCTACCCAGAGATAGTGCCAGATCCCACAGGTTGAGCATTCAGTCCCCACTTCAGATGCCAATCACAAGTCCAGGGTACCTGTACTTCTGACTGACTGGCTACAAACTGGGGTTCCTATGACCCCCTCCTTGCACTTGATCAATTTGCTAGGATGGTTCACAGAACTCAGGGAAACACTATGTTTGCCAGTTTATCATAAAGGATGCTATAAAGGATGCAGATGAACAGCCAGATGAAGAGATGGATAGGGTAAGATATGGGGTGGTGGTGGTGTGTGCAGAGCTTCTAAATCCCGTCTGAGCACACCACCCTCCCAGCATCTTGTTGTTCAACAGTTTTTATAGAGCTTAGTCTCCAGCACCACCTTTTCCTTCCCCCTTTCCTGGGGGTTGGTAGGAGGGGCTGAAAGTTTCAACCCTCTAATTGCTTGGTCTTTCTGGTGACCGGCCCCATCCTGAGGCTTTCTAGGGGCCCTATACTAAGTCACCTCATTAGCATAAATGCAGGTGTTATCAAAGGGGCTCACAATGAATGACAAAAGACACCCCTATCACTCAGGAAATTCCAAGGGTTTTAGCTCTGTGACAGGAACTGGGGACAAAGACCAAATACATTTCATATTATACCATAATCCTGCTTGATGTTCTGTGAGCTTCCTGGTTCTGTGCTTTGCTGTCATTAATTTTGGAAAATTCACAGTCATTATCACATCAAATAATTTCACTACTACTTTCCCTCTTCTCCTATAATTCCCATTATGCTTGTTACATCTTTTGTTATTGTTCATAGTTCTTGGATATTCCATTTTCCATTTCTCTCTCTCTCTCTCTTTGCTCTTCAGTTTGAGAAGTTTCTATTGATATAATCTTCACACTCACTGATTCTTTCTTTAGTTGTGTCTCATCTACTGAAGAGACCATCAGAGGTGTTCCTCATTTCTGTTACACTGGTTTATTTATTTTTTAGCATTTCTTTTTGATTCTTTCTTTGTATTTTCATCTCTCTGATTACATCAGTTACCCATGTGTTCTTGCATGTTGTTCGGTTTTTCCATTTAAGATCATAGCATAGTTATTTTAAATTTCTGGTGTGATAATTCCAACATTTCTGCCATATCTGAGTCTAGTTGTGATGGTTGCTTTGTCTCTTCATAATGTGCTTTTTCTTGCTGAATTAGTCTGCTTGGGTTGCCATAACAGAATACCACAGACTGGATGACATAAACAATAGAAATTTATTTTCTCACAATCCTGGAGACTGGAAGACCTATATTAACGTGCCAGCAGGGTAGGGTTTTGGTGATGCCTTCACACTGTGTCCTTACATGACCTTTCCTCCATGACCACATATTCCTACCGTCTCCTCCTCTTCTTCTAAGGATTCCTGTCCTATGTGATTAGGGCCTCATCCTTATACACACCAAGCCAATATTGCTTCTGCCCAGAAGCAACCCAGGAACAGTACCAGGTAACTGGAGACCAGCCCTACAGTCCGAAGCTCGCCAGAATTATTCAAACTAGTTAATGCTAGAATGTTTACTCTGCCCTGCCTTGACTTTCCCATGGAAACCCCAATAAAGGCTGTGGCCCACACCTTCCCCTTGTTCCTTTCTGCCTCCTGACCAACACTGGTGCTTTCCATGTGGCCCTGTGCAGCATGGCGTGCCCCCTTCTCTTGGGAAATGTAAGAAATAAATTCTTTCAATGGCATTGGCCCCTCTTTGTCATCACTCATTCATCTCCATACATTAAAATCTCATGGGTAGAAATGAAACACTCAGGCCTTCTACTTCTAGGTATTAACCTAAGAGAGAGACTGCTATGTGAATGTTCACAGCAGCTTTATTTGTAATAGCCCCAAACTGGAAGTAATCCAAATTTCCTTTAACAAATGAGTAGAAAAACAAATTATGGAATAACCATATGAGAGAATACTACTAGTCTATAATAAAACATGAAGTACTCATATATGCAACATGGAGAATCTTAATTACGCTGCATAAAAAAGGCAAAAAAGAGTAAACATTTTGTTATTCTATGTATATAAAATTCTGGAAAAGGAAAACAAGTCTTGAGTGAAAGACAGTAAATCACTGGTCATGAGAAAAGGGAGGCAGGGAGGGAAGGAAAGAGGGATCATGAAGAGGGATGAGGTAACTGGAGGTGAGGAATATGTTCATTATCATGATTATGGTGATATAGTTTCATGGGTGTATATATTAAATAAAACTTAGCACATTTTACACTTTAAATATGCACAGTTTACTTCATGTCAACTATAATTCAATGGAGATTTAAAAGAAAAATTGTTCCACAACTTCTAGTCCCAGGCTTGCCTGAACTACCTATGAGAGAAGAGTCACTTGACTTCTCAGAGGCAAGCTTTTAGCAAGTGTACAGCACAGGGCTGGGACTAGATCTGTGGTCCCTTCCAAGTTAGGGGGAAGCACAATAACAGTAGCAAAAGCCCACATGTAACAACTTTCTTGTGATAGCAAAGACTGTATCAGTGTGGGACTGGTAATCTCCAAATACACTGTCTTAATTTTTTTTTTTTTCCTTTTTGTCTTTTTTTTGTGACCGGCAACGGATCGCAACCCTCAGTGTCGCGCCCATACCGGACCGGGACCGGCAACAGGATCACAACCCTTGGTGTTGTGCCCGCACCTCGCTCAGCCAGTGAGCGGGAACTGGTCTGTATGTAGGATCCAAACCCTCGGCAGGAGCACCGCCACACTCCCAAGCGGCGCAATGTAGCAGTGCGCCACCAGGCCGGCCCTACACTGTCTTAATTTTTTTTTTTTTCCTTTTTGTCTTTTTTTTGTGACCGGCAACGGATCGCAACCCTCAGTGTCGCGCCCATACCGGACCGGGACCGGCAACAGGATCACAACCCTTGGTGTTGTGCCCGCACCTCGCTCAGCCAGTGAGCGGGAACTGGTCTGTATGTAGGATCCAAACCCTCGGCAGGAGCACCGCCACACTCCCAAGCGGTGCAATGTAGCAGTGCGCCACCAGGCCGGCCCTACACTGTCTTAATTTAAAAAAGAAAGCAAAGGATAAAAGAGTGTGTATAACATGTTACCCTCTGTGTTAAGGCAAAAGAGAATACGTGTATACTTTCATATGTCTAGAACATTTCTTTAAGGATACCATGGAAGCCAGCATTAATGAGGGAATTAGGCAGCTGGGAAACAGTGGTGGTTTTGGAATTTACTTTTTTCCATATAATATATCCTTTTGTATGTGTGTATTTTGTATCTTTTTTTAAACAATAAAATAATTAGGGGGAAAAAAACAGCTCCACATTAAAACCTGGTTCTGCTCCTCTTGAAAAACCAGAAGACTTGGCAAACGCATATTGACTCCACCATAACTCTGCTCCTCATTTGTAAAGGACAGCCCTGCTTCAATGGAAGCAAAGGCCAGTGAGCAGTAAAGGTTGTTTGTGAGTCACGAAAGTCATCCTGCCTGGACTACAATCTCTCTCCTCTTTGTCTCCATTTTCTTGCCTGTATAGCAATAGCCTTGAGGTGAGGAGTCCAAATAGCCTCAGTGACCTTGTCCATAGGACAGACTACATCTGGAAATCCTGAGGATATCCGTACATCCTCATCCCTCACAGCTAGTGACCAGAATATTTCTGGAAGCACTTTTAGATGGGGCACATACCCTCTAGTTTGATGCCCCCAACTCTATTAATCACATCCAGTGTGTGAATGTAATTATGGTGGACTCCAATGGCCTCAGACCACTGGAGGTCTCCTCCAGGGAAGGGGATAGTACAGAGGTCTGCTTCCCTGGATACACTGGGTAACCTGATGCGCACTTGCCAGCTGGTAGAGGTGAGTGGCTTCTGCCACAGGTACTGGCAGCAATATACCTCAGGCAAGGACTGTGGCATGTCAGAATGTGCATTGTAGCTCCTGAAAGCTTCCCAGTGAGGTATTGGCACTCACAGGGAATCTCTCCAATGTGGATGTCCAGCTGCGAGATTCAACTTTTGGATGATGGCTACCTCACAGAGGCTACTCTCAGAGCTTCTTGCTGATGTCACTTGTTATGTTAACCAAGCAGATAGCATGTTCCCTGCTCTAGAAGGCCTTTCTCCAGTGTGAGTTTTCTGGTACGAAATGAGGGAAGGCCACAGGATTGAGGCTTTTTTCCAGTGTGATTTCTTTGATGTTTAATGAGGCCAAACTTGTGGCTAAAGAATTTCCCACATTCACTGCACTCATAAGGCCTGTCTCCAGTATGGATTCTCTGGTGTTGAACAAGTATGGACTTAGGGCTGAAGGCTTTCCCACATTCATTGGACTCATAAGGCCTTTCACTAGTGTGAATTCTATGATGTGCAATAAGGCTGGAGCTTTGGGTAAAGAACTTTCCACATTCAGTGCTCTTATAAGGCCTTTCTTCAGTGTGGATTCTAAGGTGCCAAACAAGTGTGGTTTTACAGCTAAAGAATTTCCCACATTCACTACATTTATGAGGTTTTGCCCCAGTGTGAATTCCCTGGTATTGAATGGGTCTGTGTTTGTAGCTGAAGGCTTGCCCACATTTGCTGCATCCATAAGGCCTTAGTTGTGATGTGAACTCTATGGTGTATAGAGAGGTTAGAGTAATGGTTAAAGAATTTCCCACATTCACCACATTCATAAGGCCTTGCTCCACTGTGAACTCTGGTATACAATAAGGCTAGAGTTATGGCTAAATAATTTTCCACATTCACTGAACTCAAAAGGTCTTTCTCCAGTGTGGACTCTGGTGCTCAAGAAGCCTATTTTTGTGGCCAAAGGCTTTCCCACATTCCCTGCACCTGTAATGCCCTTCTCCAGTATGAAAGGCCTCCCTGTACTGAGTGCTTCTTAGAGAATTCCTCTTGCTATGAATGGTCTGGTGTTGGAGAAGGCCTGAGCTGGGCAGGATGTCCTCCCCTCCAGCCCCAAATGTGAAGGGATTCTCTGACATGAGGACTCTAGAGCTCTTAACAAAGAAAGCCCTGTCCTCATCCCTTCTGAGGTGTTTTCCTCCACTGTGCTGCTTCTGGTGCAGGGGGACGCTTATACTGAACCAGAGTTGTCTCCCACATGCACCACATGTGTGCAGTTTGTGCCTGGGGTGTATTCTCTGCTGCTCAGCCAGGAGCAAAATGTCTTTCACAACTGAGCCACACATCTCACAAGGGAAAGCTTTCTGGGTGGCTGGACCTGCCTTTGGAGCCCTGACCTGTGGCACTGCTTGAGAAGGTGCCTCTTCATCCTCCATTCAAAATCAACAACCTGAAAGCAGAGAAATGTAGACTTTGGTCGTGGGGGGACCCCATCAGAAATGTGTGCCTTACAAATCCAGGGATGAGTACATGGGACTCTTGAGAGGATAGGATAAGGGGACTGAAGTGAGGCTGAGAAAGGGTCTGCTGTACTGAGCCTGGGAACATAAAACAATGGGGACATCCAGTGTGGGGCAGGGACAAAGCTATGGGATGCAGCACAGGAAGGAGAAGGTGAGTCTCTGACTCACTTCTCTGTAAACAGCTTTCAGCAGGGGATTGTCTGCTGATGACAAATGAGCACTGAACAGAGGGTGTGTCCAGACCCAGGAAAAAGCCAACTGCAACTGAGGAGCTGTCCAAGGACCATGTGGGATAGGTGCACATCTCACAAGACATTACGTCAGTGCTGCAGAACACTGCAGAGGGAGAAACGAAGAGGGATGCATGGGAGCTGAAAACCAGACAGGTGGAGGTCAGCCCTGGCCAGAAGTCAGGGTAGGAATGGCAAGTGAGCAGAATGTCAAGAATGGGACAGAAAGACAGAAATGAGTCATGGCCCCTCTCCTTGGTATGAAAACAATGATGGGCACTGGAGAGGTTCCTGATATGACCTGAACCCAGCCCTGACATTGAACCACCCCTCACTTCCCACTTACCAGAGCCAGTCCCCCTCCGGGGCCCTTTTGCCATGGCTGGAGTCATGTCTGCCCTGTCAGGTGCCCAGGCATCTCCTCCCAGCTCCAGCTGGACAACTACATGAATCCAGGAAGATGCAAGTCCTAAGGGGAAGACGAGGCAGGTGAGTGGACAGCAGCAGTGCAGAGTAATCCACCCCACAACAGACCACAGGAAAGAAAACTAGTATCACAAGAGGATCCTTGGGGGAACATCTTACAGGAACAGCTGAGTGGTTGCTGAAAGTAGTGACCAGGTTGGTGCCTGCAATTCCTGGCACTGCCAAGCATGAGGCAATGTCAACTGCAGGGAAGAGGGCAGAATCGGGGGCAAAGGCACAATGATTCTGGACAGTCACTCTGCCAGGGTGAGGCCAAGCCTGGTGGGTTCCACTGGGTTCACTGTGAGACTTTCTGGGCCCCACTCCTTCCCTGCAAGGCTCCAGGGCACCAGGTGGTGGGACTGCCTGGGGAGAGGACTGGTGAACACTCAGTCCAGCTCTGGCACCCCCAGCACCTACGCAAGGAAACCTAGGAAGGGAGCCATGTCTATGGCCTGGGTAGGGGAAGGAAAGAGGCCAGCCGAGCATGGAAGGTCACAAAGGCAAAGTTCTCTAGCATCACATGGTGGTACAGGAGTCTCTGAGTCTCATCAAGGATCTTTCACTCTTGCCAGGAAAAGTCCACAGCCACATCCTCAAAAGTCAAGAGTGGGAGAGCGGTGTCCCTGAGCAGCCTTTTCTCCCTAGCAGTCTAAGTCTACCCTTGCCTGCTAAAACATCCATTCCCTGCACCCACGCCCCACCCCACCCCCCCAGCTCACCTCACAGGAGATACAAGGCCTACATGCAATCAGTTGATAAATTCTGCCCACTTTACCTTCAAATATACCCAGAAACCCACTACTTCTCACCATCTCCACCATCACCATGTCGTAGCAAACCACCAACATCTCTCACCTGGATTATTGTAAAGTCTTCTCACTGCTCTCTTAGCGTCCACTCTCACCCCCTAAAGTCTGATCTTCCCACAGAAACTAAGGAATCCTCTGAGACCATCTCATTCCTCTGCTGAGAACCGTCAATGGCTCTCCCCTCCCTCCAAGTCAAAGCCAAATCCTGACACTTTCCTCCCCTACCTGTCACTTGTCTCTACTACATTCCCTATTCCTCTGCAAAATTTACTCCTCGCCAGCCACACTCACCTCCTTGATTTTTATTTTTAAGCACCTATGGAAGGCTGAAAAATGACTCCCAAGGATACCCAGCAATGAACCTCTGGAACCTGTGGGATTTACCTTATATGGAAAAATAGATTTTGCAGATGTGATGAAATTAAGGAAGTTGAGATTGGCAGAATATCCTCGATTATCTGAGTGGGCCTTAAATGCAATTAGAAGTGTCCTCATAAAAAAAAAAAAAAAAAAAAAAAAGGCAGAGTGAGGTCACAGACAGATGAGAAGGCAATGTGACCACAAGGGTAGAGGTTGAAATGATGTGGCCAAGCAATGTCTACCTGACAGAAGCTGGAAGGAGCAAAGAACAGATCTTCTTCTTCCAGAGGGAGCATGACCCTGCTGACCCAGTGAACATGATTTTGGACTTCTGGCCTCCAGAATTTTAATAGACTAAATGTGTGCTTTAAGCCACTAAACATGTGCCAATTTGTTACAGCAGCCACAGGAAACTAATACAGCACCCCGGTTATGGTCCTGCCTCAGGGCCTTTGTGCCTGCTGCTCATTCTGCCTAAAACATTCACTTCCAAATGTCTCTTGGCCATTTCCCTCACTCCTTCAGCTCTTTACTCGATTGTCTACTAATCAGTGACTTCTCCCCAACCTTCCCATTCAAAGTACCAGGTTTCCACCCATCCCTGTTTTCCTGTCCCTCTCTACTTTTCTCTTCAGCACTTACCACCATGTGACTTACTATGAATCTGATTTATTTACTTGTTTATAATCCAACTCTTCTTACTAGAAGGTGAGCTCTCTAAGAGTAGGATTTCAGCTCATCTTTTCACCTTTAATTCTCTACACTTCAAACAGTGCCTGGCACATAGTAATAGTAATGTTAAGGGTTACAGTGAAATAGAGCTCCCTACACCCTCATAACATACGCTATCTGCTTCTGTAAAATTGCTTGCTTAACCTAAGTAACTCCATTTTGCCCCCTGCCTGACCTGCAGACTACCCCCTTTCTGCATGAGAAACTGTTGACTTTCTCATAGAAACAAAAAACAATTGCATAGAAACAGGAGCCATACACAATGAATTATTACATGGGAACGGGAACCATATACAATGAAAACTTATATGCTTGATTGCTCGAACGGCTCATTCTAAGCCTCTGTGACCTAGCCCCCTTGCTTGCTTTGTGCACTTGGACAAACCTGTGTGCCAACGGGATGTAGTGTTTGTCTTCAAAAACCCTACAAGACCAAAGCCTGAGGCTGCTCTTCCTTGGTTGCCCCTTGGGAGATGGTTGCTGGCCAGCTGGAGTGAATAGACTGCCCTTTTCTGCACACAAGTGGCGTGTAAGTGCATTTCTTGTGGGATGGTGCCTCACAACAACAGCTTATTCAGTCCTTGCTACAAGGCAATCAATTTTCAGAAGGGTAAATTGAGACACAGGGAGGTTAAATAATGTGCTCAAGGTCAGTCAGGAGGTGGCACTTACAATCAAATGGTAGAAATACGGATGTTAAATGTGTCTCTGTAAGGTCTCTTATGGAAATGAGGAACATGTTATTGGAAACTGGAGGAAAGGTGATTCTTGTTATAAAGCGGCAAAGAACATGGTGAGATTGTGTTCTACTGTTTTGTGGACAGTAGACATTGTAAGTGATGAACTTGAATATTTAGTCAAGGTGATTTCTATTTCTCCTTGTTGCTCATAGGAAAATGCAAGAGGAGAGAGATAAATTGAAGAAGAAAATGTTAAGGAAACAGGAAACAGAACTGAAGGCTTGGAAAATTATCGGCCTATCCATATTGCAAAAAGTGAGGCAAGTAATGTCAGAAAGATGGCAGACTGTGACGTTCCAGGCTCTCATTCTTTTAAGGTGACACCATGTTGGGCCGGCCTGTGGCTCACTCGGGAGAGTGTGGTGCTGATAACACCAAGGCCACGGGTTCGGATCCCATATATGGATGGCTGGTCAGCTCACTGGTAGAGCGTGGTGCTGACAACACCAAGTCAAGGGTTAAGATCCCCTTACTGGTCATCTTTTTAAAAAATAAATAAATTAGGCAGGTAAGTCAAGATGGCGACAGATCTGGAGCAGGGGTGCCAGAAGACAGCGTGAGCCTGAGAGGTGTGCACTGTGCTGCCAGAGTGCTATTTGCATTTCCAAGAGCAACAAAAAAAGAATAAGTCTTTGATCAACTAATCTACAAGTATAAAAAAGCAACTACAGATTCGAGGTTTAGGGCCGACATTAAAGAAGATTCCTGGTAGCGCCCGAGCTGTGCCACGGGACCGAGTGAGCAGCCCAATGCAGTGGAGGCTAGGACAATGCAGAAACGGAGAGGGAGCCGCTCAGCCGGCCCAGCTCCGTGAGTGACCCCCAGCCCAGCCCTGCTTGCGGGGCAGATGCCCATCTGGTATCTGCCTGCCCCACTAGGCCAGTCACCGGCCCGGGGCTGCCTCCATTTTCTCGGGTCGGGGAGGAGCCGGCCGGCTTGGCCAGGCCTGCCCTCCTCACCCGGCTTGGCTCCTCACTGAGCCTTCCCA